TAGAAGCAAAGGGGTTCTCACCTTGTCCTGTGCCAGGCGCCTGAAATTGCTGGCTGCATGACTAGGAGAGGGACAGTCCTCAGCCCTGCTCTTCCCTGTGTAGATGGCCAAGAGCCTTAGGGAACAGAGGTTTGGCGAAGTCAGGTCTAGCAATTACGGTGCCAGCCTCCACGGTGGCAACCTGGACTTGGCTTTCTTGCTTTGTCGCAGATGCCCTCTGTGCTCCTCAGAAAATCAGCAAGCCCCCACTGCATGCTGGAGGGTTGCCTTAGCCATTTTGAAGGCTTCACAACATCAATGTGACAGCATGTCCTTAAGCAAAGCCTGTGCCACTGGTGTTCCTCCGCTCATGGAGGCTTGTGTTGACTGCCTTGGCCTCAAATCCCATCCTGCACAGACTAATGCCTCCTTGGAAGAGCGATGACAGCAGCTGAGAGCCTCCTAGAAACCCTCCTGCAGTTTCTAACTTGTTCTGTTTCCCTTATCACTTCAGCACACCCTTCCCCTTTGAGATTTCTACTCTTCCCTCCTGTCCTTTGGCAGGAAGGACATTTAGCAACTTCTACTCACATGCCTGTAGGGCAGCTACACCGAGGGGACCTCTCATTTGGAACGAAGGCTGGGAGAGCGTGGGCACGAGGCTGCAAGCAGGGTATGTGCATGGAGGGGAAGAGGGATGTTAGGAGGAAGGAGAGACCTGGAGGATGGGGCTGGATGGAGAACATCAAGCCATGGGGTAGGATAAGTGGGCTGGCATTGAAGGGAACGGGGTTTGGGGGCAAGAGAAGCAAAGGAACAAATAGTAGGTGGAAGGAGCCAGGGAGCGTGTGTGTATGGGGAAGGGCAAGAGGGGGATGACGGAGAGGCTGGGGAAACTGAGGGAAAGAAGGTGGCTGGGGTAGGGGAGGAAGATGAGGTGTGAGAGAACAGGAAGGGAAGCTGGGGGTGGAGAGATGCTTGCGGGAAAGGCAGGGGAGAGGGTGAAAGGCAGGTGAAAAGGGGGAGGGTTGTGCATCCGCACCAGAGGTGTGCGTGGGGTAGGGACCAGAGAGGGGCCCCTCGGGGTCTGCGCTGGGCTCTAGGCACCGTACAGACCCCGCAGACGTGAGAGGGAAGGCCCTGTCCCAGGGAATGGGGGGCAGAGAGGGGCTGTGGGCTTGGGCCCCTGGCTCATGCCGGTACGCAGCAGCTGCCTGTGTGCTGCCATCCGCCCCGCTCGGCGAGCAGGAAATAACAAGCAAACCGCAGAGGAGACGGGAAATGATTTAGGTAAAATCGGAGCTGTATTCTCAGACAAGGCTATGAAATGTTTGCAGCGAGGGCCGTCCAGCCCCCCAGGCCTGCGAGGGGGAGCCCAGCTCACCCGCTGCTGCTCAGGACCTGGAGCAAAGACCTCTCAGTTCTGAAAGCAGTCACTGATTTTGGGTGCTCGGCTGGACACAACGCAAGCCTGGTGTCAGCTGCTGGGTGTTGGGACTTTTTAGGCAGCCAAAGAGCCCCTAAAACCGAGGGCAGGTTTGCAAATGTCACTGTGAGATTGGCATTGCCGAGACATCCCCTGGTCCAAGCCCTCCACCCGGGCACATCTCCTGCCCTGGGGCTTTCTCAGAGTCTACCCTCGCCCTCGGGCAGCAGGAAAGTTTTTGGGGTGACAATATGAGAATGAGAGGTTTCAGGAGGAGAGGACAAAAATCCCAGACAGAAGTGTGTGTGTGGGGTGCTGGTTTGCCAGCCCCCAGCCCATCCCCATCATGGCAGAGCTGCACAGCCACCCCTTCGCCCTCCTGCTCCCTGCTCTGCTCCTCCCTCTGCATCATTTGCTCAACCCCACATCTCTGCCTTGCATATGCAAAAGAGGGCTCATCAAGCCTGACCTTTTATGGGTGTTTTGAAGGCAAGGTGCAATGGGGAAAAACCCCTGAGGATCTGTCAGTGCCTTTTCAGCTAATTTTTACCAAAAGGGGTGATTTGCAATGCTGGTTTTTTTTTTTCTATGCTGCATTAAAATTGGTCTGAGACCTGTCAAACTTATCCTCCTCGGCACTCAGCACATCACGCAGAGGCCACAGATTACGGATCTCAGCCTAAAGGCAACGTGGGCTCCCCAGAGAAGACGAAATCCCATCGCTTGCTCTGCTGAGCTGTGATCCGCTCTGTTCAGCAAGGCTTTTCTGGGCTAAAATTAGACTAAAATCACAGTCCTTGCTCCAGCAACACCAGCCCTTTAGTGGCTACATTAGTGAAACACTGGGTGCTGGTTTCGCTGCCTTGGCAAGACAGCGGCTCTGGCTGGGAGTCGTAGCCTTGCTGCTAACAGCTTGGCCATTGCCTGGCAATTGCCTTCCACACGTGGGTTTGGAGCAGAAGCCACCACATCACCTTCTGCTCATGTTTCCAGCAGCCCTCTCCCATCCTAGCCCAGTATCTTTATATGGGAAAGGGAACTAAAGCTACCGAGCTGCACGCTAGCCTCACCTCAGTGCCCTTGATCACCTGCCAGCTTCCTAAAACCGAGCAGTATTCCAGACCCGCATCTCCTGTCTGCCAGTCCAGTCTGGTGTGCCTAAATCTCTTGGATCCCTCAAGAAATCCCTAAGCCAAAGAGGCTGCATGGACCCCACAGAGAAAGCTTTGAGCTTGCGGCTGTCACGCACCAGCTCCTGCAGAGCTGCGCAGCTGCCGGCGTTGGGGTGATGAAACCAGCCACACTCCTGTTGACATTTCCTTTCCAGGTGTTGCAAGAGGTCTGTCTTAGACATCTCCCCAGGGAACATCGGCCCACAAACTTCAAGCTCAGGATTAAATAGACGGAGGAGGGGAAGGAACCATGTTCCAGGCCACGGGACCTGCCAGCCCACCCCCAACTCATGTACGTAGCATTCCCTGCGGTTTGTATGAGGATTTCAAACCGGGTTTTGGTTCTCAGGGATGGGGGGTTGTGTACAGAAGCTGTATTCCAGATTTGACATTTTGGGGTGATCAAAGGCACAGTCACTGCTACTCAAACAACAAAACTGGGGACAGGAATGTTCCAGCAGAAGGTGCTGTTTGCTGAGCACATTGCAACACCAGCATCTAGGCTCTGGTCTGAACAGAACTGCTCGCCCTGCTCCCATCTCGAGTCGCTGACTGTTTGTTTGTGTTTCCATGGCTTTCTGTGATCACATCTGAGAGCATGCAAGCCGCTTAGGATTGCAGTGATTGGAGATGGAAAAACATAAAGGCTCAAGCACATCTCCTGCTGGGACAGGATATGGCCCTTCCCCGAGGGAGGATATATCAGATATGAAATAGATAGCGTGCCTGATCGGAGCCAGAAGGCTGCCGAGAAGTGACGAGCAACAGTGGATTGCCTGTAGCCTTGGGAATGGATGTATTCCAGCTCTAAAGAGGCAGCATTTTCCTTAGCTCTGTTCAGCTGAGCCTGGAAACAGTATATTAAATCCGAATCCCAGGAGAGCACCTGCGGTTGTTTTACCAGTGCCGAGGGATGCAACTGGTTTTACACAGCCTGAGTCTCCTCGCTGCCCATGTCCCGCTGTTGACTTTGGCTTACTCTTCCAGCCTTGTGGGAGTGAGAGGAAAATCACATCCCTGACCTCAGTCAATGGCAGCAGCTGAGAATCGTCTGAAGAGGCAGCTCAGCTAAGTGAGAGTTTCCTGTGCATCTCTTAGACAAACTGTTTCCAAAAATACAAAGGAGAAACGATGGGGAAGGATAAAGCAGGAGGAACGGGGATGGACGATCGGCCTGGGGGCAGAGAGAAGGGGCAGTGCTGGCCAAGCAGAGCCAAACCAGCAGCAAGAGGAAGGATAAGGAGGCAGTGGGGTGATGTCCTGGGGTCACACTGCCCCGACCCTGGGAACAAACAGCGCAGAGGGTGAGCCAGTGGTCCGGGCTGGTCCACCTTGCTAAAAGTGTGTTTACCCCGTTGATCCTGACTGTTTGAAAGAAGAAGAGAGCATTTTCATCAGTGCAAAGGCAAGCTAAAATACTTGCAGGTGGCTGACTGGGACGCCGTGGGTGCCTGCGCAGTCGGCTTGGGGAGGGTGCAGGACTGTGGGACCGCACAGTGGGGCAAGCGAGGGGGAGGAGCGGGACGGGATCTGGGAGGAGATGAGCTGTTGCAGCTGCAGCGGGGAGAGCATGCACTGAGACCCTGCTCTGAAATCCTGGGGGCAGAGGTACAGGCGCCTCAGTGTTTGGATCTCTCTGCCCTGTTGCTCCTCCCGCAGCTGCAGGGTCCGGGTAACATCTACCCTGACCAAACCACAGAACGCCACGGAGCACGTCTGCAACCCTGACCGTGCCCCGCTGCCCCTCCTGCCCTCCGCACACACAGAGCCTGCGGGGACCCGGGCAGGCTTTGCGCTCTCGCTTATGGCGCAGGCGTTTCCTGTGCGGCGCAGCGGCGTGACAGGCTGATAACCGGGCTGTGAGGAACTCAGAAACAAAACATCCGCTGAGGGGGAACCCGCACAACGTGCTCCATGAGAGCGAGGGGCTCATGCCCCAGAGGAACTGGCAGCCTACCACCCTCCGACTGCAGGCAAAGACCCACACTGGCAACATTGCTAGAGCCCTGTGCACCTCCAGCAAGAGGAGGGTTAACTATCGCTCTCCAGCCCTGTGGGGTAAATGATTGTTGGCCAGAAGGAGCATGAGCAGCATCTCGCACCAAAGCAGAGCTGCTGTTAGTAGATGCATAAGCCAGCAGGTGAGGATTTGCTGGTGCAGGTCAGAGAGGGGTTTTGCCAGGGGCTTGTGCTGCAGCAGCTCAGCAAGCCCTTTCCCCCTCCCTGCCTGCCACAGGCCCAAACTGGCCCCAGGGACCCCCCAGGGGTCCTCTGCTTTGCTGTTGTTATTCCTGAGGGGTAATGCTGGTGCTGTGGGTCCCAAGACACGCATGGTGGTTGCACTGGGTAGCCAAGGATAGTAAGTGATGCCTGCAGATGGTGAGAGCTGCTCATCAGTGGCAGAGCTGTTACCCTGGGGTTGTGCTCTGCAATGCCTATGCTGTGACACCTCCTGGATCTGTGCTGGGGTGCTACCACCACAAAAGAGGTCTGCTATACCTTGGCCATGGAAGAAACAGAGCCGTGCCATGCTTCTATGCCTGAGACAGAGGCCTCAGTGGGCAGTGCTGGATGAGAGAGCTGGTTGCTCTGCCCCCACAGCCCCGGGCAAGTACCATGGCCTCCAGGTGCCCAGAGTTCTTTCTCTGCAATACGTACATGTTTTTCCTCTTTTTCTATTTTCCTCTCTTCCTTCTCCTCTCTTTGGGAAAAGCACCACAGTGCAGGCATTTACTCGCACACGAGACCTGATGGAGGTCACAGCCCCTGGGCAAGTGAGTTCAGACGGTCACCGCGTGCCCGTGGCAGCCAGGCAGAGGCTGCTGGCGTGCCCCAAGGTCCTGCAGCTCAGCTGCCTGTGCCGATCCTCTGCTGCTCCTCCTTAAGCACAACTCAGCGCCAGGTTTGTCAGTCCGGGCTCTCATTTTGATTTCTTCCCTTCTTAGGAGGCAAAGAACAACTCAGGAGGCAGCACGGTGCAGCGCTCCAAGGTACCTGCAGTTTTACCGCATCCTACTGATTCACGGCAAGGGGGGAAGGACCGAAAGCCTAAGGTCCAAGCACCAATCCAGCCCAGCATCAGTGGAGTGGTACAGGGAGGGCGAGGGGAGATGGGGCTGCTTCACGCTAACCAATGCTCCAGCAAATGGCAGCATGGATATTAGGGAAGAGGGCTGTGGTGGGAGCCAGGCACAGAAGATCCCAAACCCCTTCCTCATCCTCTCTCCCTTTGGTCTCCCCTTGCCCAGTCCTTCAGCCTGAAGGCGCAAGTGAAGGAGACGTGCACTGCCTGCCAGAAAACCGTCTATCCCATGGAGCGGCTGGTGGCGGATAAATTCATCTTCCACAACGCCTGCTTCTGCTGCAAGCACTGCCACACCAAGCTCAGGTGAGCCGGGCTGGGAGGCTGCCGCGGTGCTTGCTGACGGCGAGGTGGATGGGTGTCACCGCGGCTCTGCCTAGCCTGGGTGGGGGAGGCCCTTCCAAATAGCGCACCCACCCACCCATCACAGCCCTTCCTCCTCTTGTGGGGTAGCTAAAGACCCCCAGCCTACTCATCACAGCAAAAAAAGGGCTTATCTGCCCACCTGGTCCGAAGTCTCAGCTAAATCCCACCTGGTATGGAAAAATAGTTTTATCCCTCAAGAGCAGGGAGAGAGCTCCAAGGTAACGCAGAGCTGAGCCACGGCTTCCTCCTAGATGACACAGAGCCAAGGCTGAGCTGCCCTGCGGGACCCCGCTCTTTACAGACCTTTAATGCTGCTCACAGCAGCGCCTAACATCCTGAGCTGGCTGGAGGGGGCAGCTGGCCCTCTCTAAGGTCCCCTCCTGCATGTTCCCTCCTTCCCTGTCCCGGTGCCCCCAAGCCTCACTCACTCCCTGCCAGCCTGCAGCTGAGTCCCCGTGCCCAGCTAACCCTGCCCTCCTTCCCCAGCCTGGGCAGCTACGCGGCGCTCCACGGGGAATTCTACTGCAAGCCCCACTTCCAGCAGCTCTTCAAGAGTAAAGGCAACTACGACGAGGGCTTCGGGCGCAAGCAGCACAAGGAGCTGTGGGTGCACAAGGAGGTGGAGAGCGGGACCAAGTCAGCATGAGCGGGGCCAGCCTACCCTTCCCTGGAGCCAGGCAGAAATGGCACGGAGCAGTGCTGAGCCGGCGGCTAACTGAGCTGATGTAAAGCAAAGGGGACCCAAGGGCCTGTGGGCGGTAAGGGAAGGGAGGCGGCCCAGCCCTCTTCGGAGGATGCTTTGAGGGGTCCTACGGGCCATAAGGACAGGGCAGAGGTGACTGGGGTAGAGCCCCCAGACCTGAAGGTCTCTCTCTGCAGGCCCCTCTCCCTGGTGAGATCAGATCAGAAGCACTTGCCCCCATGGGAACCCCAGCCCCGTTCATACGTTTCAGGCCTGCCACCATGGAAAAGGAGATGATTTGGGGGCTTTACCTAGCCTATAAGTCACAGCAGAGCTCCCAGCTCCTGCCACACCAATCCTGCCTTGCTGGGGCTCCGAATAAGGAGAACCCTTGGTTTACATCAGCTCAGTTCAGCTGGGATTGTTCAGCCTTAAGGATGTTGCCCTGCGACTGTTTAACAGTGTTTGTCTTTTTTATATTTGCCTTTGATTGGTACGTTCCGCACTGGAGCCTGGCATGGCAGCTTCATGCGTGACACTGTGCCACGTGCTCTTTTATTTTTGTAATACAAGGTTTCCGAGCCTTCCCTGTCTTGTCCTGTGTTCCCAGGGGTCTGGGGAGGTGGGAGCAGCAGTCAGGTCTGCCTCTTACTGCCCATTTACTGTGGAAAGAGCCTCTGCCCATGCAAGAAAGTATTCCTGGATACGTGTGTAATGTTATGACTGGGGCAGACTGGGGATGCCCTTTGAGGATCGAGCCCAGGATTTCAAATTGCACGCCAGCATTACCACCCTGTGAGCTACACACCCCGGCTGTAACCGCACGCCCAGCTTCCGCATGGAGCCCAGGCCACCCTCGAAGGGAATTCGCCGTCCTGCGAATTAGATCCACCCCTTTGCCCTGCATACATTTTGTGGCTTACTCGCCTCCCCCTCTGTATCAATAAACATTGTGCCCTGCCTCTGCAAGCTAGATGCTGGCTCAATTCACTCTGCAGCTGGCGCAATGGGCAGGACAGGCATCAGAGCCGGGCTGGCTGGTGCAATGCGAGGTCTGGTTTGGATCAACCCCATCTGCTGAGCTGTGATGTTTGGACAGCATAGTCCATACAAATGAATGAGCCCAACAAGACCTGCCAGGCTGGAGACCCTAATGCAGGGAAACCAGGGAAAACAGGTGAGTCTGTTTTTAATTATTATTTACCTCCTTCCTCCACACATGATTTGTAAGACTAGCTTGAAAGAGTAAGCATTCAGGAACCCCACGTCTTTCAAATGCTATGGGAATCAGGCTTTTCAGAGCCCACGCAGCACAGAAACCAGCAGAGCCCACACAGCAGAGCAACAGCCTTTGATATCAACAGCAAGAGCCCCTATTCCATCACTGACTGATAACATCAGCTCCCGCTGAGCACGTCCTGTCTGGGAGAATCCAGACACGGCCATGGAAACGGGGGCGAAGGATTGAAGAGGGAAAAAGATGGGTATGGGTAGTCCATAGGAGTCCCAGGAGGACCAGCTGGTATGTACAGAGATGTCTTCTTAACGCGGGTCACCGTGGTGCTCCTCCCTCACTACCAGTCCTTCTGGGGCTCCGGGCGCGCACCAGCAGCCAGGCAGCAGCTCGGCGGCTCTCCTTCGCTGGCAAAGCTGGCTGCAGTCACGCCTGATCTCGGGGAAGATATGTGTTGGATGACCCCAGGACCCTGACGTCCCTCCTGTTGGACAAGTTATTTCTCCTTTTTCGTTAAGGGCTTTTTAAAGGGCAGGACTGTCAGCTCTTCTGGGTGGGGGCTGCCTGGGGGTTTACACTGCCACCACAGCAGGGACTGCATACAGAGACCCCGGCACGGCTCCAAGTGAGTTTCAGCCTCACCAAGGGCTCTAACTGTCCCCATCACGCAGGTGCTGCCAGCTCCCCCTCACACCGGCACGCAGGCAGCAGATTTCCACCGTGACAGCAGCCGCTTCCTGAGCAGCCCTGCGGCATTCGTCGTCATAAACCAGCCACCGAGCGGTGGCTGCTCTGCAGCGAGGGTCTCGCAATGCTGTTTGGGCTGCGGCCCCTTCCTTCCGAGGGCTGGCTTAGAAAATGAAAGCAGACTCCTCGGTTTCGCTTCCTGTTCCTTGCTGGCCTCGCTTCCCGATTCCCTCACCTCGCCGGGCCGCTGCTCTTTTCTGCACACCAGGGCAATCAGATACAAAGCGTTTTTCACTATACCAGCTGATTTTGGGGTAGGGGAGGGAGAAAAAAGCCCAGCTTTTAGATGTTGGGCTTTCAGTTAGAAAGAGAACATTAAGCAAGAAGAACAATGATGTTCCATTTCTCTCCTTCCCTCCCAAAAATTGAAATTTGGGATTTTGTCTAAAGACAGTAGCACTCACCGTTTTCTACCTACCCCCTTCTCATATGGGCACAGAAAGCTCTCATCGATGTAGCAGAAATGGAGAGAGCATCTGCAAGCTCCAGAGGTGTGAGACCTCCAGCCTGCTACGTGATCGCGTTCTGCACAGTCCCTTTTTCTGATTTTGAGAGCAGGGACCAACGACCAGGCTATATATTACCGAAACGGGCTGCAGCAACCTGACACAGGCACCACAGTTCAGGGGAGGGAGACGAATCTGATGAGCATCAGATTCACGTGGGGGAAAGAGACGGTCGATACAGCGATGTTTCACGGAATGGCTGCTGCACATAAAGCAGGGAACGGCAAACTCCCGCTTCCCTGGTTAACATGCTAGGCTCTGCCTGCAGGGAAACCCTGGTGGTAACACATGTGGGAGATATTTTAAATGCTTTGAGCTTAGCTTATCTGCCTGATACATTTCAACGGTGGTGCACCACACAAATGACAGTGCACACTTTCCCAGGGTGTACCAGAAGAAGCAGCACTACAGAAACCCCAGGTTAAAATGTCTCTGACTGTGAGGTTTTTGTAAAATAGATGAAAAAAAAAAAAGCCCCAAACCTTGTCTTTGTCCCTAAGGTTTAGCTAAAATCCAGCTGATTTTACGATGAGAGCTAGTCTCACTCCACTGGGACTGGAAACCTCCTTTCCGAATCACCCACACCCTTAGCATACCTTTGGGGCAACACATGCAAAAATCCTGTTTCTGAGCAGACACTGTGACTTCTTACTGCAACACCCTCGCTTCAAATCTCCATCTTTAAGCACAAGGGCTGTCTTTTCTCATTCCAGCTGCCAGCAGCCGCCCTGGACCAGCAGTCTAAACCAGCAATCTGTGTGTATGGAGCCACCAGGATTCAGGATGTTCAGACCCCAGAGTTGGCAGTAAGATTTTACAGTGTAAATACCCATGAAGAGAAGAAGGATCACAGGTTCCCAGCATATATAGCTGCCAATCATTCTAACAGCTTTTTATTTGAAATTTCTGAGTGGCCAGAAGCCAGCCGTCAACTTTGAGTGGCAGGGGGAAGCTTTCTGTGCTCCCCCCGGTGAGGCTGAGCCGCGTTGCACAGCGGCACCGCACACCAGCCTGGGACAAAGATGTTTCAAAGCGCTATCGAGACAGAAGCTATCCAGACAGCTGGGTTCAGAGAGAAGCCTGCAGCATCTGGCAAGTGAAGCAAAAGCTGGGGAGATAGATACTGCCTGCAACCTACCCGAGGATGCTGCACAGAGCTTGCACCCAGTTGTGCTGAGATGAGCTACTTAAAGTTCCTTTCAAGTCATGACCTGGTCCCTGCTGGGGCTTCTTTCTGCTGCTCCAGCCCAGCGAAAGCAGTGCAGCAGCTCCAGAGGAAAATATCCCCAGCAGAGGAGCCAGAGGAGCAGCAAAAGCTGCAGCCAAAGCAGAGGATGCTACAGCTCTCTTGGGCTCCGAGGCAATGCGGTGAGAGCTCAAGAACAGCGGATTTAATAGCAGCACAAGGGATGTTCCAGGGTATTTTGGTGTCTGCTGCAACACTTAAACTGGCCCCTAAGCTGAAGCACAGAAAATGGCACACCGCTACCTGCCTTCCTCTCCTCCAAAGCACAGGTCTGGTCTTGCCACCTACGAAACAATATGACTGATGAGCAACAAATACCCTTTATTTGTATTACACACGCCACAACTTTCTTTTCCATTTCCATGAAAGCACAAGGCTTCTGTCACCAACCTGCCTTTTAGCTCAAGAAAGGACATTTTAGAGACCCTAAAATTTCAGGCCAACAGATTCATGTAATAAAAACTGTTTTGGGAAAAAAATCAATAAGAATCCATATACCTGTGCTCATTTTGGCTGGGATAGAGGTAATTCTCTTTATAGTAGCTAGGATGGGGCTATGGTTTGGATTTGTGCTGGAAACAGTGTTGATAACACAGGGATGCTTTCATTACTGCTGAGCAGTGCTTAAACAGAGTCAAGGCATTTTCTACCTCTGTCACGACCCCACCAGCGA